TGAAGATGGCTGGGCAAAAAATGGTCACGGAATTGCATGAGATGATTGAACGGCCCGATTACGTGCAAGTGTCAAGGGAAACTGAGGTGATTTGACACAGATTACTTAAAATCATTAGGGATTTTTCAAAGTAAAATGAGTAGTACTTTTAACCACTTGCAATTTCCTTCATGCACCTTACTCTCTCTTTCCAATTGTAGGATGAGGAGTCCATGATGTTCCGATCGAAATTTGCTGGCTGGGATGATATCGTACCCGTTGACTTCACTCGTACCTCAGAATCCGTAAGCCGCGTTCCAGATCTCAAGGTAGATATTTCAACAGTTCGGCTAGTTTGCTGCTTTTTGTTTTCAGTAATTCCTATGTTCTTTATAATCAATAACTAGGATCCATCTAGGTTCTTGTCAAGCGCGACAATATGATGCGTACCGACCTAACAGCTTTGTTTCTTGACCGCCAACCAGCAATGTCACCTGAAGAAAGTGAAGAATTGCTCAACGATTGCAACGAGGATCTTGAGTTCATTGAGTCATTCGTATTGGTAAGAGATTCCTCTAGAAAGTCTGAATTTATGGTTTGGTGAAGTTTTTGTGCAATACTTCAATTTTCAAAACGTCATCTGTGATTTAGGAGGGAAAGAAGTTTGTTCGACTGCCAGATGGAGAATTCGGATCATTTTACACGATGGATTGTTATGTGTTCCTTTGCCGCTATGCTGTGATACCAGACGAGTCCGAAGACGAAAGCGATGCGGGAGACGTTGAGGTAGAAAGCGACCTTTTGACGTCATACTTTCGGATTATTGAGCTCGTTTTTGTTCTTCTTACTATTTCCTTTTCAATTCATGTCTTCTTAATAGAGCCATTTTTAATCACTCATTTTATTGGAAATTATAGTGGCAGATTATCCGTTCAGGCTCCCGTTTCCTCTCAATTTCTTACTTCTTTCTGCACCAAGGCGTTTTCCAGAGCCAACAGGATTTCAAGTGTGTGTTGTACTTCTGGCAAGGCCGTGATGCCTCAAATATGGGTTGGCTGCACTTTACCTTCCAACTCCAGCCTACTTTCGAGAAGATTTTCAAGGATAAGTTGGAGGTTTGTTAGGAAAAGCTGAGGAGTCGTTCCTAAAAGCATTTTACCTGAAAAATCTAAAAGGTTATATTTTGTAGGTAGTGAGGATGCATCAACAACAGGAAAACCACAAGTTCCTATCTCATTTCCACCGAAAGTTTGTTATTCGTCGAGGACGCCGTGGCTTGACCCGAAATCTCGGCGGAAAATGGCCTGAGCTATTCCAGATGAGAGCAAACGGCTCAAGTGTTTGCACGAGAACGATTCAGATAGATTGTCGGTAAGACATGTGAAGTGAACGATTTTGCACTCTCTTGTGTACCCAAACTGTTCACTTTTTTCCAGGGCGACTGAATTGTGCTCCGGTTTTTGCCATATTTTGCGTGCGCCATTCAAAGTTGCACGGGAGGATGGTGAAAAAGGCATCGTGTATGTGTGGATCGGTTCACAGAGTGATCCACATGAACACGAGTACGCCCGACGAGTAAGACTTTATTTTTTTCTTTGTTTTTCGAGTTTTTAATTTGGGGATGAACAATATCTAATGAAGAATCATCTTGAAGGTAGCTGAAGAGATGATCAATCGTCACGATGAGAGTCTTCCTGTGCAAGTGATCAAAGAGGGTGAAGAACCTGATGATTTCTGGGAGTATATGGGAGGAAAGAAAAAGTAAGTCGGTCGAAGTGCTTTGAGGTTCAATTACGATTGTTTTGATCTCCTTTCTTTTTTATTTTTCTTGCTGCGGTACTGTTGATTTGATTGGGTCTGACGCTTATGTTTACTGATTGTCCTTGAAAATCTTGTGTTAATAGGGCGCAATGTTTTTCTACCTGGCGGCTTTGAACGATCCTAGTTATGGAGATTTTTTACTCCTAATGAGCCTACGAAAACCATTGTTTCGAATAGAATTGGAGCTAAAACATTCATACAAATAATTTTTTGAGCGATTGTCTGTTTTTCTGTCTGTTTTCAATTTATAAGAAATATCACAGTGACCCTTACTTTGTCCTTGATCGCCCTAATTTAATCAGAACAACATCTTTAGATTGGATGTTTCAGTTATGAAAAAGACGCGACATTCTTCCGTTACACACGCTTGTTCCGCTGTACTAACGAGAAAGGTTACTTTGCAGTATCTGAGAAGACCGTCGACTTCTGCCAGGTCTGATTTTTTTTGGTTTCTTTTCTTCAAAGTAACAATATTCTGATTTCGTTTTTTTCAAAACTCTCAAAATTTATTTATCGGACTTTTGTCTTTATTTTTATTAGCTTTGAATATTGTTTCAAGAGACTAGTGTGGTCACGTTGTTTGAACTGTACGGGTAGCTGCCTCACTCAACCATGCTCAACCACCATAATCACTGTAGGCGAAGTCGAAGGGGTATCATGAGCGTCATATGAAGCTCCATGAGAAGCTCGTGATACCCCTTCGACTTGGCCTACACTGGCTATGCGCACGTTGGTCCCTTTACAAGTGACTGCGACGAAACCATTTGTTTTTCTCTGAAATTTTTAAAAATATTTTATTGCACCAAATGGTAAAAACCCGAAGCCTGCTCAATGAGCACTCAACATTTCTTCAATAATTCGATCCATTATTAAGTTTTGGACAAATTCTTACATGTATATTAACTGTTTTATAGGACGATTTGGACGATGACGATATCATGATCCTCGATAATGGTGAACTTGTATTCCTGTGGTTAGGTGCTCGCGCCAGTGAAGTTGAAGTGAAACTCGCATATAAGGCCGCCACGGTAATTTTTTAATTTTAGTTCGTATTTTATTTATTGGTTTATTTTAGCGATTTTCGAGAGCATTCTCTCGTTGGTCTGTAGTATTGGTCACTCATTCGATAAAAGGGATTTTAATGTTTTCGTTGCTCGTAGATGGTATGTGGTGATTTTGTTACGATTTGTATATGTCGAGATTTTCTCAGGTGTACGTAGCTCATCTGAGAATGCGCCAGACAGATCGACCAAGGACGTTAAAATTGGCAATAAAGGGAAAGGAATCGAAGCGTTTCAAGAAGTGCTTCCACGCCTGGGGACGGCATAAGGTGAGATTCTACCCCTTTTCAATAGTTATGTAAAGTAGGGGGCTAAAAAAAGTTTCAATCTACAGTTTCACTATTCAATTTGGCCTTTTTGTTGAATCGCATGGTCCTCGTAATTTCAGGTCCCCGCTGGAGATTCGGTGTGATTGTGAATGCTGATAAGGAATCCTAGTCATTTTTTTTTTTCGTAGAAAA